CCTCAATTTTGAGTCTACCCTTAGCAGTTGGAAATTAATTGCTCCAGTTCAAACTTGAGATGGTAATTTCTGCTATATATGAACCAGGTAAGAAGAAGGTAGCACCTAAAACGTATTGCTACTATCAACAAACATTGTCTTCATTCTCGACAGGCTTGCTGATGGATCAACTATCAAAATTTAACTGACCACACCATGAGCATGAAGATCCATTTTTGCATAGTGCTCTGCCTCTACTAGTCTGAATGCCATAGCAGATAGTCTCCCTACTTCAGAAATCAGTAGTTTTTTTTTTTTTTTTTTTTTAATGGAGCAATATCTCCATTCCCATGCATCGTTTGGTAGGAGAAACTGCTTCTCCATATTTTGTATATTTTTTTGCTTTCTGGATGTAATATAACTCTTAACTTTTCTTAGAAAAGGCAATCCCCAAAATGATAGAACATTTGAGATACGTCAACTCTTACCTTTTGTTATCTTTTAAGTTTACCAGATATTTTTGGACCCCTAAAGCGGCAAGTCCCATGGTATTTTTTTAGCAAATTAAAACTTGGGACAACTGCATACCATGGGTGGCTATCATCATCATTGTCATCACCTAAGCTTTGTCCCAACTATATGAGGTTGGACCAGTCAACTACATGAATCCTGTTCTGCCACACCATTCTATTCAGTGCCATATCCATTATAAAAATATGGGCTGTGAAATCATTTCTCACTACCTCAATCCATATATGTCCTTTTTATCATATTCAGCAACAAATAAGCATCAACATGAAGTAAGTAGTAACATCCAAACCTGATTTGAGTTAAAAATAAAATCGCTCATGCTTAAGGCAATAGAAACTACAAAGAAATTATTCATTTTATTCATCACAAGGAGTTATTTGAACATAAAATCTAACCACTAATGACCTGACCTTATGCATATGCAACTAAGCCATCACAAATTCAAAATCAGCAAGGGTAGCAAATCCTCATAATTACCCATTTATTAGAATCCAAACCGAGATGATTTAATCACAGAAATCAAGACAGCTATCCATCCTAGGAATTCAATCCAGACCCATACTAATAAAACTAGGAATGCTTCAACTAAAAACAAACTCAGAACAAGCTGCAAAAAAAGTGTAAACAAGAGGGACTTTAAATTTTATAGAAAACAAACTGTTGTCTGGGAACCGAAATTGATTGCCACAGCTGGAACCAGCAAGGGAAATGGCACACTTTTCCCAGGGTCTCCCTAGTGGAGTCGCCCGTCTGTGGGCACCAGAAAGTGATAATGAATGCATATTTTATATTACAATAAATTTTATGTCACATTATTCAACCATCCACAATACAATCTCAACCAGATTTCATTCTTCCTTATTTGTAGTGTAATGTGATACAGTGTATCTTATCTCTTTACTACCTATAGGATGAGTTTGGATAGGTGCATCTGAGGTAATATTGTCAGACAGGCCCTTGATGCTTCTCTAGTTTTATAGCTTTCCTCATATTAGAGTCTTACTGAGATTTCTTACATCCAAGAGGTTTTTCTCTAGGCAAATTACATATGCAATTTTATTTTTTTATTTTTCTGCTTTTTGTTGTACCGATTAGTATTTCTTTCCTGGAAAATCACATAATTTTGCTCTCTACTTTTATTACCACAGGACCCAAGTTTCTGAGCATCAGGGTCACACCATAGTTCTGACT